TGTATACAAACAGTCCCCTAATAATGAATATTTAGGTTATTTCCAATTTTTATTATTATGAACAGTGCTGAAGCTAATATGTGCCAGTATATTTGTAGAATAAATTCCTAGAAGTTCAATTTCTGGGTCAAGGGTATCTACCTTGCAATTTGTCGGCTACCACCAAGGGCTCTCCATAAGGGTTGTACCAATTTACACTCCCACCCACAGGTATCAGAGTTCCTGTTTCCCCACGCCTCAGAGTATGTTTGTTTTCCTAGCTAATTTAAGTAAAAAAAAGGGGTGGGTGGGGAGGGATACAGAAGAAAGTGTTATCTAAAGCTGTCTCCTGTGCACGCATCATTTCAACCCAAGTGCTTAGAAAGTGCCTAGCAAATGTGGCCTGACCTTTTGATGAGACACAATTGGGCATGTGACAGGTCTCACTGGAGCAGTGACACACCCCGGGCCACCCCCACACACCTTTCCCATCTCATTGGCTCTCAACAGAGCACCACAGACCAGCTCCAACTCTGACTGACCTGCTCAGGGTGGTAACCGGAAAGTTAAACAACTGGTTTTCTTAAAGACTGACAAATCATTCTCTAGCCAAACACGCTACTTAAGAGTTGATCTCACAAAGTTCCCTATATAAATGAACTGGCTTTGAAAGCAACTGGCCTCATTGATAAGCAGTCCCCAAAAGATCTAGAGAACACTTCAGAACTTTCCAGCGGCCTACAGCAAAAACAAACTCTTAGAACATGGTGAATGAGGCAAAGCTTTTTAAAGAAACCATCTGGGTAACACTGAGTGATATACATGTATTTCACTGTGTTGGTAATTTTTTCATCGACCCTTAAAATGATTCAAAATTTTTAAGCTCCTTTGACAATACTATAACTCCTTGTTTCTCTATTACACAGAAGAATTGTTATTCTATAATAAAATATATTTTCATAGCTTGTCCAGTAACATCTACCACAGTACTATTTCCTTCAAGGCATATTTACATATAATTTCTATTGTCTCCTTTTTAGCCTTAAGAATTTACAAGCATTAATTGGTACAAAAATCAACTTTATTGTGTGTAATATACATGAAATAAAGTACTCCCGTATTAATAGTATATTTCCATGAGTTTTGACAAATCACTATACTTGTGTAACCCTTTGATTGGGTTCTTTATAAGGAGACAGCTATATTATCCTGCTATAGCTATTTCACACGCACACAAACAAGCACTTCCCTGCACAGCTCCACTGGCAGGTGGCAATGCCGTCTCTCCTTAAGCACTTTGAGTGCCCAGGGCTTTATTATTAAGACAAGCCATATTCCATATTCTGTTTCAACAACTACAAACCTGTGTGAGACAGGGTTCTTCTCCAATCTAATACCTGCTCACCTGGAACGACATGAAGTTAGACGGCCATAGACTTTTGCCTTTTAGGTATTTGTACACAGTCACTCTCTCCCTCTCTTATCAACCTGTGACTTCTCCAATCTAAACAGCTTCAGTGGTTTCCCAAAGTTCCCAGAACCCTCTCCTACCCTGCTCACTCTTCCCTGAGGCTCCCCAGTGGGCCTCTTAGGCAGCCATTGAGTGTGTGCTTTGATCGGGGCAGGGTACTAAGGCAAATGCCTCCTAGATCTCTACTCAAATATTTGCTAAGTGCCCAGCATGTGCCAGGCACTTAAATATGAGTAAGACTCTACCTGCCCTCAGAAAGGTCACATAATTCCACTAATGCAGCCTTATTAACAATGTTCTGCAGTTGCTTTAGGTCCATGGCTCCTATTGAACTTGGAATGAATTAAAGTTCATATACATTTCAGTCAAGGTAGAATAATTCCTTCCAACCAAAGTGCGGGGCTTCACACAGGCCCCTGTTAGCTTTCATTATTTTGATTTTTGCTTTATTCCAATAACCAGCATAAGAACTCTGGCAGGATATTACCTATCGTTAATACTAAGGCAGTTAATACTTCGTAGAAAAATGAAGATGTTCTTTTATTTCTCCTCATTGAAATTAAAAACAGTTTCTGAGTGAAAGATGAGTTAGTCTGTGTGGTTTTACTTATGGTGATACATTATTTAAGCAAAAGCCAAGCTGTGTTGTATCATTTCATGGTACTACACAGTGAGGCAGTAAATGAGGGCATAACTTTTTTTTTTTAATTGCACATGCTTTTCCTGGCAAACTCCTACTCACGCTTCAAGACCAGATTCTTACACAGAGGGGAGAACCACCTCTGTCTTCTCTCCTTCTCTCTCTGCTCATTACTGTAGCATGTGCTGGGTCACTTATCATTTTCATGTCTGTTTAGGGTAACCAATCATCCCCATTTGTTGGGAACTATCCTAGGTTTAGCACTAAAATTCCCAAGTCCTGGGAAACCCCTCAGTCCTGAGCAAATCAGAAAAATTGGTCACTCTACATGATAGTGTGTGACTGTTTAATAAAATACCCATCATTTAGGAAGGGCCAAGGACAAGTACTTTACAAAAATTACTTCATTTTTCTAATTTAAGACAATACTAAAAGTAGTTTATGATTAACCTATTTAACAGAAAAAAAGAGGAGACTGAGAGAGGTAAGTAACTTGCCCAAGATCACAGGGGCCCCTCAAATTGAATCTAGGCTTGCTTCAGTCATACCATCACATTGTATTGCCATCTTAGGGCCTGGGGGCAAATCCACACAGCAAGCTGTCAATAAATACCACAGAACAGTAATTCCTTATTATCATCCTTCTAGCATCCTTCTATCACTCAGCATCAGCTAATATGCCAGGGTTGGTCTTGAGAGAGTTACCAGGCATTTACAGGAGGGTTCATGCTATGGGAGCAACATATGAAAAGTCCCTTTACAAGCACTGCTTTTAATTTAATTTGCTTTTATGTAAGTGCCTGAAGATGTGAATGCCAACAGATTCAACCTACCTCATGTTTCCTCACAAAGATAACAGGGAACCTCTAATGACTGGCCCATTTAAAACACTTGGCTATGTGCAAAAGAGAAAATTCAAGCTGTTACGCCAAACCCAAGGGCTGTCTTCAGGTGGGACTTCCTGAACCAGTGGGACAGAGCACAGAGTACCAGAAAACAGGCAACACTTTTTGGCAAGGAAGCTCTCTCCTTGGAGGTCAGCTTGCCATTTGTTGACACTGGAATTTGGGAAACATTATGTACTCACACCCTCCTGCTTGGTATGGGTTACATTTTAGAATCTGAAGACTCACCATGTTCACTCCCATAGTGTATCTTTTTTTTTTCTTTTACGTGGTTGTGGCTCCATCATTGGCTTCTCTTTTATCCCCCTAACCAAACACCAAACTCATGCTCCAGGATTATAGGAGTTAGTAAGCAACCGCCCCGCCCCCACCTCCAAGTTAAAAGAAGTGGAATTACGGGGACCTATTTAAAACAGAAGTTCTAGCAAGAGTTCTAAGAATGCAGGGCCAAAGCGCCCCACCCCACCCCCCAACACGCCCACCCGGAGCTGCCATTGTATGGAGATGTCACACGCGCTATCTCACTCAGGTCCTCCCCAAAGGCTCCGGAGATGCCCCTCCTCTCCTGGGGTGTGCCGTCTGGCTCCCCCACAAGGGGGAGGGGGAAACTGGGAGCCACAGACTCAGCTTCGGCGCCACATCCACGGTTAATCAGTTTACCTGGGATGTGTATTTGGCTGGACCCCCCTGGGACCCTCCCTAGGCCACCCGGGGTCAGAGAATAATTTAAAAGCTCTTCAAAGACTGGGCTTTTCTCGGAGCCAGCCCAAGACTGGGAACCTGGGAGAGACAGGCTTTACTCTTCAAAGTGAGAACAAATGCAAAAGGATTTAGCACTTAGTAGGTAGTCAATAAATGTTAACTTTGTTTCTCAAGTCTGGGCTTCTCCTCCCGTACAAAAGTCATCTCCCTCCACACCCGATCCCATCCCTTCCTGAAATTCTGCAGGACCAGAGGTCGTTTGCATTTTTAACTAGTGGTTGCCACTTCCCTTTCCCTCCCAGACCAAAGCAACAGGGCCTTTTCTTAGACTTCATTTTGTTCCTCCGAGCAGGGGTGCACACATCTGGCGTCCTCCGCAGGTGTGACATTCAAAGGAAATATTACATTGTGCCCATTAGGATTGTTATTTCTAACTCCAGCCCTCGGGACAAGCGGAAGCTCAACAACACGTGGATGACATGGCAAGGTCTCCGTTTAAGTCGGGCATTATAAAGAGGACGTTATAAAGAAGCCCCTCAGGACTTCCCGTGTTCCAGGACACTGACCAGGCATTCGTTTAACGCACCCCGGGGCGCATCTGCCGGGCAGATCAGCACAATGCGACAATACGCTCTGGCCCCGAGGAACCCACACAGTGCCGGCCCCAGTTCAACCCATCTCCATCCCTCTGGTCCTTCCTTTGTTCCTAGTGTGAAATCCCCGACAGGAAAATCATCTGCCACCCTGAGGGATCCTCCAACTGGGCCGCCAAATGGCCCAGAAGATCTTGGGCCCAACCCAATGTAATCAGATCCTTCGCGGAGGGCTCTGAGAGAGGGCCAGGAGGAAATGGGGCAGGAAACCCGGCGATCGCCAGCGCTCTCCACCGGGGGCTCCCGGCTGCTCCTCCCGGCTGTCCCGTGAGCCCGTCCACCTTCCGCAGGCACCCACAGATGGGCGCCTGCCCGGGTGCACCGCGGGCCCAGACAGCTCCGACGTCTGGGCAGCGTGGGGGACGCGCTCAGACCCTGCCACCCTGCAGTCTTTTTATAAAAGGCTCTAGAAGGCAAGCCCGCCCTCACTTAACACTACCTGGGCTCCGACCTGCACTCCACCATCTCCCCGCTTCGCCGGCTTGTCCTCCAGTTTGCGTTCACTGGAAACGCACGCGTCCCTTCGCCCCCGTCCCTGCCCCCTTCACCCTCCCTACCCTTGATGTGAACATCAAGTGCCCCCAGACAGAGCTCAGGACGGTCCCTGTTCCGGTCCCCACCTGGCCCCGGTACTCTCGCTCAGTACTCACCGAGATTGGGGTGTCGGGCGGCGGGGTTAGCGCGGCCGGGCAGGCTATGCAGGACCGGGCTGTCGAAGGGACCGGCCGAGGCAGCGGCAGCCGCGGCCCAGGAGGCACCTACGTCGGCCATGTAGGCCGGGTAGGGGCTGGAGTAGGAGCCGGCGAAGCCCGCACGGCCGTACTGCTCGCGGCCGGCCAGGCCCGCCGCCCCGCCGCCGCTGCTGTAGGCTGCGGCTTCCCGGGCCGCGGCGGCGGCGGCGGCGGCCGCCAGGGACCCCGTGGTGCCCGGGAAGGAGAAGCGCGGCGACACCGGCGGCGGAGTGTAGGCTGCTCCCTCGGCTCCCGCCTGGCTCCAGGCCGGGCTGCCCTGCTGGGTCCCGGGCCCGGCACCCGACGCGGCCGCCCCCGAGCTGCCGCCCGAGGTGGCTCCGGACGCAGCACCCCCGCCTCCGCCCTGGAGGTAGGACAGGCCCAGCACCGAGGAGGGCACCCGCGGGGTGGGCACGTAGACCGGCGAGGACGCGGCGCCCGCGCTGTGCATGAAAGCGCCGGGGCCGCCCGCGTCGTAGGCCCCCGGAGGGGGGCCGTGGTTGGCGGCCATGGCCAGGCTCTGATACATCGTTCCTGCGAGCTCTCAGCTTCTGAGTCCTTTTTTTTCTCACTCGCGGGTCAAGGAGCAATGCGCGGAGAGAAAATAATAATCACAAAAAATAATAATGTACAGGTGAGGGACCGTCACAAAAATAAAGATTAAAAAAATCAAATGTTTAAAAAAAATCCCTCAAGAATAGGTACGTATTAAATCCATCATTGAGCAAAAGATGCTAGGCTCTTGTTTACTCAGGAAGATCCCAAATTGAATTTTTGGTTGTTCCGGGAGGTGGTGGAGGAGGGGCCGGATCCACCCCAGGGCCTAGGGGCGGCCGAAGACGCTGGGTAGGGCCTGGGCGCGGGAGTGAGGCACCGGCCTTCGAGTCCCGCCGGCGGCCGTCGCGGCGCAGTCTTCAGGACACCGCGGCCTCGGGCGCAGGGCGCGGTAGGCTGGCTCCAAAGCCCAGGGTCCCGCGGGCTCTTTTCCACTTCGCTGCAGGCGCGGTCCTAATCAGGAGGAAAGACAAAAGGGAGAGAAGTTCATCCTGAGCTTTCAAAGCCCACTTTCCTTATGCTTGGTTGCTTCACCTGCACTGCAAACGCCACGGCCACTCTCGGGGCCAGCTTTGGAGGCCACGCGGTTCCAAAGGAGCCTGCGGTCTTTGTTTTGCGGAGACCGTGGGGTCTGGCTGCTGGAGTAAATCCTCGGGGAGGGGTTTCTTGGAGATGCGGGGCTTGCCGGTTATTGGACATGGAATTATTGGTTGTGATCTAGGCCTTTTATTATTATTATTATTATTATTATTATTATTATTATTATTATTATTGCTTGTTAGCAAGGACTTTAATTTGACCTTCTTTTTCACGCATATTATTGTCCCCGTATGTTACACGTCCAAGAGTTTCGGGTTCCCGTGGAGTGCCGGGGACCCAAGAAATCTCGATCATCTCCTCTGTTCCCTCCCCTATCCCTAAGCGCACCTGGCCCTGAAAGAACTTCAGATTGCCCATGGAAGGCAATGACAAACTTTATAAAAAACCAGCAATCTAAGAAATTTTCGCTTGTAGCATTTTCTTTTTAAACTACGGGTAGTCTACAAATGAGTACAGCGTCTGCTATGCCTCCATGAAAAGGATTGTGAAATCTCTTACCCATACACTATATGCCACGTGGACATCAAATCAGACAAGATACATGTTTCTGGCAAATCGTTATATTTTAGAGACTTTGCAGATTGGATATTAAGACCAGAAAAGTGAGAGGAATGTACAAGGTCACTTTACTGAACTACTCACTGAAGCATTCCAATTCACAGAATGGGTTTTTCATATAGAATCCTTGGTTCTGGAATCAGAACACCAATGAGACTGCTTGGGGCAAAGAACAGTTTGTAGGACTTGATTATACCCTTGTATCCTGTGTTTTGATTTTACCAGGCAATTTTTCTGATAAAATAAGAGCTCCCTGTTCTGAGGCACCTGCTCTGTTCCAGGGCCTTTTTTTCTCCACACTCTACTAAGTAACAGTGTCTCTCTTCATTTTACAAAGACAGAGCTGAAGCATCGGAAACTTTTGAAACTTGTCTAAGATCAAAGTACAATTAACGTGGGTAGGGGTCTGTAGGGCTCCAAGAGTTTGAGACTGTCCACTACACTCCCACTTTTCTCCTTAAGAGGTAGCTACTCCTAACAGTGGTTTCTTTTACATTGCAATAGTAGACTTACAAAGATATTACCTGAACTATATACTAAATCCAGGCTCTGCCACTTACTGAATGGATGACATTAGACAAATTACTTAAGCTCCCTGTACCTCAGTTTCCTCATTTTCAAAACTACAAATATTAAAGGTATCTATCTTATAGACGTATGATGAGGATTATAGATTAATATATGTAAAGCACTTATAATAGGGTCTTATAAAACTTATAACATGCACAAAAAGTTCTATATATACAATAGTTGATTATTATTAATATTATTACAGATTTCTAATGTAAGGCACCATAAGAAAGTCCCTCAGATGTAATATGTACTATAATAAATGGTTATCTTTGTTATTGTAAAAATATTCTGGGTATGGACTCTCTAGTACACATTATATAATGATTTTAACCATTTCTGCATCATCACTAATAATAATGGAGTTAATAGCACTGTATTTTATTATATAGTCACATGTTGACACCTAAATGGGTTATTATTTACTTTCAAAGCTATACAACAAATTATTGGTTTGGTGGACATTTCCTTCCAGTTAGAAGTTTGGTTGGAGGGTGAATACAAAAAACTTGATCTGAAATCACCAACTTCCTTCTTTGAAAATGAAGGCAAAAAAATGAATACCTTATAGGAATTTCTGGGTTTCATTAAGTGACTATGTAGGTTTACCTTAATAAAATGTACACCATTTAATTTTAAAATAAAATAGTTGACTGATTTCATTGTATTTTCTGTAATACTCAACTACTGCAGTTCTGAAAGATAATGTTTTTTTCCTCACATAACTGCAGGACAGAAAGATTTATAATTTTGTAATCTAACTTCCAACATACATACAAGCTTTAAAATATAAACGCTAAAAATGCCATAAATCTAATATTTGTTCTTTCTTACATTCTCTGCCTTTTTAAATGGCTGATACGTTACCTCAGGATTACTGGACATTAGAAAGTAGAGAAAATACTCCTCTACAGGTTTCTGGCAAGGTAAGAAATTAACTATTCCCTTAAAGCGACTCTCACTTGTTTCTGTAATTGAACCCCGGTCCAGGCGTCCGCTGACGGGCCGAGTGAGCTCCTAACAACAGCAGAGCAGGTCTGGCCTTTTCGTGGGGGCCCAGGCCTGCGCCCCAGTTTTTCCTCTCTTGATCACTCATCCCAAATTCACATGCCAGACAGGAAATGCTTTCTATTTTCGTGCTTTAGCCCACAGCCCCTTTTCGGATCTATTTCTGAGAGCCGGAGGATCCAGAGCGCTCGAATGTTGGCGTTCACTTACAAGTCACTCGCGCTCTTTCCGCTCGGCTCGCGCCTTCGCTCTGCGCCAGCTGCGCGGAAAACTGTTACCCACGAACGCACCCAAAAGTGTAGGGGGCATCGCCCCGTCACCCCAATAAAAACTTTCTGTCTTTAAAAGCTTGAAACCTGCTCCTGGCTGCCTGTTCCTTTTCTGAGAAACACAGGAAATACTTCCCCAAGGCGCTTCCCCAACCTTCCCGGCAGCGCCTGCCGGGCGGCCCGACTCCTCCAGGCGCTGAGTGTCCTCACCACCCTCTTGCCCCTACCGAAAGGCCTCTCTTTCCCTCAACCTGGTGGCATCTCACCACTCGGGCATCCTCCTCTCCCCTGGGTGACCCCCCCACCCCCACCCCAAAGCCAAGAGATCGTGGATCCCGGCAGCAACCCGGGGCCAGAGGAGGGACGTCACTGCTCTCCGCCTGGGTTCCGGATCTCAGCTAGTGTCACCCTGAAGCAATGTGGGTGGGTGGGGCTGTTAACTTCGCGGGGGGCGTTTAGCTCCCGGGACCCCAGTCAGGAAAGCGAAGAGGCTGGCCAGAAAGGCATAGAACGTCCAGGCGCTCAGCAGCCTTTAGCGACTTCAGAGCTCCTCCCCGGGGCCTCTGCCTCCCATCGCCATTCTGCATCCCCGGAGTCGCCGATGGGCGACACTCCTCCTTCTGAACCCCTCCGTGTTCGAGCTGCCAGGTGGCCAGTCCCGGGTCAACCGGTCAGGGTGGCTTCGCACGGCCATCATCACCACTCAGGCCCAGGCCTGCGATATGTACACAAGGGCTGGAGAATCTGCACGCGGGACCGAGATTAAAAATGTTTAAGTTCACACAAAAAGAACCCCAAAACAACTTCAAATATCCTTCTCCGCTTTCCCCCGAAATCCTACTTTGATTTAAAGAAGCTGTTAAGACAAAGGCAAACGTAGAGCAGGCATTGGCCAATTTTGGGTAGAAGTGACCAACTCTCCTTTCTACCTACTAGTCAGTCACCTCTCTACTCCGAGGCAAACCGGCGCGGGGGAATTCGGAATATCGCGGATGGAGGGAAAGAGTAAGGGCAGGGGAGAAAAGGTCGTACCTGCGGGGGCTGGAGCTTCCAGGAGGGCCGGCGCGCGCTCTCCCGGGCCCTGAAGCTTTGGCGGCAGCAGAGCCTCTCGCAGCCACTGTGCGGGCCGCCTCCAAGTCCCCCGCTCGCCGCCCAGGTCCCCTCGCCTCTGCGCTCCGGCTCGCTGCAGCTGACTGGCTGGTGAGAGTCACGTGCAAGGGCAGGGGGCGGGGGTGCGTCGCGGCCACAGCACCTCTGCTGGGCGCCGGGCTCCAGGGCTGTTCAAAAAACTCCCCTAGCAGCAGGCAAAGTCCAGGCGTAGGGATTTCCGCGGAAAAAGCCAAAGTGCTACCGCCAGGGCGCGGGGTTTCACCCACCACCCTGACTATGGTCGATTTGGTTTGCAGTTTTGCCCAGAACTCCCTTTATTAATGAGTCCCCTCTCTCCCATTCCCGACCCACTCGCCTCCTGATAGTCCGGGTTCCACCGCGGCCCTGGACGCAGTGAACGAGGGGTGGGGCTGATAGAGGGGAAGGTGACTTCTTGGCGGGACCCCCGATCGGGTGTAGGGCACTGGGTCACCTGGGTTGCCCGAGAAGTAGAGGGTAGTAGGGATCTTTCTGGTCCCGGACTTCGGGTAAGTGGAAGAGACACCAAACCTAGGACTATCAAATAGAGCGCGGAGACGGAAGCCTCCTCTTCTTCCCAGCAGCCCCAGGAGTCGGCAAGGCGCGGTCTCCAGCCCTCAATTTTATGTATTTATGCAAAACATGCACCCCTGCCTGGCGACGCTTCCCATCTCTTGCGGTCTCTCCTTTCAGATCCTTCCGTTTTCAAAGCAGCCTGCGGCGCCGCTGCGCTAATCCCAGGGACGTGGCGGGGGTCTGGGGGGAGCTCCACGGTGCAGCCGGGCGTCTCGGCCAAGAGGGCTCTGCCATAGGCCTCAGCCTCCTCCCTCGAGCAGGGGTGGGGGAAGGTGGCAGGCCCGAGTTTGGAGTCGGCGTCAGTGCCTAGAGGCCCCAGCGCAGCGGGGCTGAGAGCCGGAGAGTCCCTCAGACAGGTCTAAAGGTTAATAGAGCAATCACAGGGCCCTATTACCGCGTAAAAATAACCCATCGATTACCGCAGCCTTCAGCCCCAGATAACAGCCGGCCGGTGGCTCTCACGCTTTCGGTTAAACTGGCTTTTCCCCCTAAGGCCGTGTGCCTCTCTCCCTACAGCAGGTTTCTCATACCAGATTAGAGGGGTCGGGAGGGGCCCGGGATACCACCCTGGGCGAAACCTGTGCAGCTCCGAAGGAAGGGTGGGGGTGATACCCGCTTCCGCAGTTGGTGATCGGTCGTGGATACCCGGTCTGCGCAGGAGCAACCCGGGAATTGAGAACGAGGCTAGGACGCGGGGCTGATTGGAAGGAAACCCCCAAAGGGATTGTGGCCAACTCGTGGGGATTCTTAGGAAAATCCCAGAGGAAGGACTGAGCGCGGCTGCGCGGGGAATTCTTTTCCCTGAGCTAAAGGTGCGGAGTTCCAGAGGGGTCCGAGAGCAGGAGAGAAAACTGAGGCTATGGGAAGAGCGGTGTAAGGTCTGAGCGCGGACTAGACGCACCAACGCAGTTCCCCAGGTCGCTGCCCGCCTGGGTCCCTTCGCGCCCCGGAAGCTGAGGACGGCGGGCTTAGGGTCCCTTCTCCAGCTCCCCCAACTCCTCGCCAGCGCCTCTGCAAAATTTGGCCCTGCAGATCCCAGGCCTGAGAACTTAAAAGGGAGAGGTCCTGGGGATCCCTGAGGATGAACCTGAGAAAAGGCAATTTCGCAAGGACAGTCTGACCCGCGCACTTTCAAATGCAGCGGAGAAGGGTACGCGCCCTTGCGCTGTTTGAAAAGGGACCTTATCCCGATTGGGGCAAGCGAGAAAGGCTCGAAGTCAAAGGCCTATGTCTGGGGCCCACGAGGGCTTTCTGGAGAGCTGAAATTCTGGGCTTGGACGAGCGGGGAGCCGCCCTGGCCACTTTCTTCTCGGTGGGGACTTATGGCTACAGGGATACCCAAACTCTCATTGCTTCCTCCCGTGTGCGACCCTCAGAAGGCGAAAAGGGCTGAGCCTGGGGACTGGGCAGTGAATTAGCAACAAGCCCGGGGCTTGGGGCTAAGCATCTGGTGGAGTGGCCATCTGAGCGTCAACAAAGCCAAGGACACAGGCCCACAAAGCCAAGGACCCGGGCTTCTTCCAGTGGCGTGGGGCACGGAGAGATCGCGGGTGCTGAGGTTCGCATTAACTGGGTGCCCTGCGGCGAGCCTCTCCCCTCTCCACCCTTCCCCCCAGCCTCTCGGAACTTCAGTCTTCTCTGTACAGTGATGGAGACAATACCAGGCCCTTCTCTGCAGCTGTTGTGAGACCGTTGATGTGAAGAGCCTGCTTTTTCTCAGCAATTGCTTGTGAGAAACCCCGGGTTAATGGGGGGACTGCTCCTGGCCAGGCCCCCGACAGAGCTTTACCCACGCCCTCCGCCACCCCGCTAGCACTCTCCTGGTGGGCTGAAGCCCGGGAACCTTGAAAGATTCGTTGCTCCTAGGAAGTCGCGCGGGACAGAGGAATTTTTGCCAGTTCCCTGTGGCTTTTTTCTCTGGGCGCAGCCCCCCAACTTTCTCCCCAAAGGGCTCAACTCAAGGACAGTGCAGAGGGTGATTTGCGAGTGGCCTGTTCTTTTGGGGTGTTTCGTTTTCCCTCGCTCCCTCCCTCCTTTCTTCGCTGGCCTCCTCCTCCCCCCTTGGGGAGGCGGGAGCCGCCTCGGCCGCTGCGCGTTGCCAGGAGCGGGGAGCATTTCAAGGCCTCACTGGCCAGCCGGCTGGAGGAGGTTTATCGGCAGGTTCCCAGGCTTCTCCCCCTTTCAGGAGGCCGCTGGGAGGGGGTGGGGTGCTCTGAGATTCCGAGTCTTGGCTATTTTTAAGAAGATGTTCCTGGGCTGGCCTGGGATGTGGCCCAACCCCACTCACGTCCTCTGTCTGCTTTCCTTTCCCATACTCCACAGGGAAAAATGTAATACTGTCAAAGTTTTTTTTACCTCTTTTTACTAAAGCCCTGGGTCTAGTAGAGAGTCAAATCGCGAGATTTTAGACAAATAAGAATTACTTAGACGTTCTGTAAAAAACGGTCTCCCCGGACACAAGAATAGGTTGCCTTTCCTTATTCCACTAAGGCCTCTGGGACTTGAGCCGGTCCCTATCCTAGCAGAGACGCAATTGTAGGCTGGCCATGGTCTACAGACGAATCTGAACTTTAATTCCCTGCGAAAAAAAAGTTAAACAGTGGACGATGGAATTCACAGTGACACCAGCGAGGGTCTCCCCGCTCAGGGTTCCTGGGGTTTCCTGGCGGGACCCGAAGCCTTGTTTTAAATGTCATGTTGTGCGCTATAATGGCAAGTTCTGGCTGGTGAGGCCCTGCGGCGCCCTGCGGAAATCAGCCGACGTGCCCGCCCTACCCGAAACCCAACGACGCCTTAAAAAACACGGGGCCCCAAAAGTCTTATAATCGAGAACAAGAAGCCCCAGAGTGAGGGCACCAGAGAGGGGACTACAGAAGTCACCCCTCGTCCAGTGTGGAACGAATTCCTTCCGAGATGTAGACGCCTCTGTGCGGACTTGTTTTCAAGGGCTCCAGGACAGAAGCGACGTGACCCGCGCTGAACGTTTGCCGGCTACTGTGCCGGACGCCACGGCCTTCCAATCCCTCCGCCTAGCCTGAGTGTCGCCAGCCGGAGTCCTGCCTCCCTCTGCGACTTTTGTTGCTCACTCGCGTGGCCCTCCTGGCCCCCTGCTCAACTCCTAGCGGGCAGAGTATGGACAGCCAAGGTGTGGAGCGCAGCCCGGTCCCGTTGGTGTTAAAATGGAGAAAGAATTAAGCTGAAAGGCCACCACAGAGACCTTTCTCTCCTTGAGCTCCCTGCCTTGGACAGCGGAAATTCTTTGTGGAGGCGGGGGTGGAGGGTGGAGTGGAGGGGGGACCCTCGCCTCCACGCACCAGGACAAGAGCTCTGCACCCCAGAAAGCGATCCTCAGCCTTCCACCCGCACACTTGAAGAGAGAAGGCAGCAGCGCTTTTTAATTGTCTTGCTTTAAAAAATACTATGCAGTGTTTTAAAGAAAAGCCGTGCTCTCGCTCACAGCCCTCCGCAAACGCTTCCTGGTGCTTCCGGCCCTAGGGCCAGAGTTTTTGGCACACTCCCTCATATTTTATAGTCATTTCCCGATTACAGAACACTCTCAAATCCATTTTTTTTTCGAGGAAACATTGTTGCGCTGGAGGGAGAGAGAGGTGTTACCATCCTCACACGAAGGGGAACTCGGAGACCCAGAGAGGTTAAGACCCAGGTGGCGGCGAAGCCGGTATTCTACCCCATAGGTCTCTAGATTCCTGAGTCTTAGTTCTTTTTTTCCCCATTCTATTATGTTTCATATCGAGTTTCTATAATAAAACACTTTTTAAACCTTCGTTTTGTTTTTCAAATATTTCTAAATTTCCTTTAGTGAGCAGTCTGACACTTAAAATTAAAATCAATTTAAAATAAAACAGTTCGTGTCTCATAATCTAAGAGCTCGTGGGAAGGGGAAGAAAAGAGAAAAGGAGTCTCCACATTTTCATTAAGTTCGGGAAGGGTGCCAGAGGCTTTTCAATGGGAAGGGCGCTCCTCAGGTCTTGCCCAGAGCAGCAGAGGCCAGAACTGAAGCTCGTCCCCGAGCCCGCAAGTCCGGGTTCTGTCGCCAGCGGGTCAGCAAGCGCGGAACTCCCTGCACTCTGCGGCCACGCTGACTCCATAGCGTTTGTCCTTCTTACTCCTCCCAGCCGGTTTTCCTCTCCCCCTTCTCATCCAAGGATCTCGAACAAACAGCAACAAGCGGGAGCTTCCGGCACCCACTGCCCAGGCTTGGACGAGATCTGACCCGGCTGTCTCCCTACTCATCAGGGACCAAAGCTGCAACCTCCGGGATCTCTCTTGGGGACATGGGTCCCAATTTTTTCACCTGTGGTCCTCCCTCTCTCCTCCCATGTCGTAGACTTTTGAAATTGCAGTGCTGGGGCACCCACTCCAGAGTGAGAGCACGATAAATATTCTTGGTATATATAAAATGTCAATGTGTTTTGGGGATGGCCTGTTAGCT